AGTCCTTTTGGGGCTGAAGAGATGGCTCAGCTATTAAGAGTTGGGATTCCTGCACCCAGGTCAGGGTAATGGCCACCTGCACTCCGGCTCCAGGCTATTACACACCCTATTCTGGCCTGCTGGGGTGCAAGTCCTCATGTACTTATCTGTAAACACAGACACACACACAGAAATAAAGCCTATAAAAAAGAGAGTGCTTTTGTCTGGCAGTAGTAGGAAAATAAATGCAATGTTTTAACTGAAGTTAAAATCATTTTATTGTAAAATTATTACAGATTGTATATCATTTCCCTTAAAACGTGCATCCTCCCTTTCTAGTTGTGCTACTGAAGCATCCTTGTCTTCTCTGCATTAGACAGGCTTTAACTAGTGTTTGTTTGTTTTATCCTTTCTCAGTATCACTGTGTGTTAGAACTTGCATGGTAATGGCTTTAGAAAGTCATGCCCTGTCATGTAGCAGATTGGATGGTGTAGCCCTGACTCTCCCAGAACTCAGTTTGTAGATTACAGGCTAATGCCTGTAATCCCAGCACTTGGGAAACCGAGATAGGCTAGCCTCAAACTCAGAGATCTGCCTGTCTCTGCCTCCCAAGTGCTGGGGTTAAAAGTGTGCACAACCATGCCTGGCTGACAGAAGGTTCGTTGATGGCGTTTGCTGAAAGAATGCATAAACATTCGGTAGACTGATAATTTGGACGATGAAACCTCTCCCCAAATCTGAAAGTGGGAAGTGGTGAGGCCTAGGTCCACAATGAGAGCTAGCCATGCCTCCCTTCATTGTCCCCCCCCCCCCCCACACACACACACACAATTTCTGTCTATTTTATTTTTTAAAAAATAGGTTTGTCCTTAGAGCAGCCATGCCAAACAACTGCCTTTGAGATCATGGAAGTGTTCTGTATCTGCATTATCCAATATGGCGAGGGCTAGTCACTATGACAGCTGAGCACCTCACATATGTATGGGCCACACAATTGATGTGGGAGTGTCATATATCAATCTGTTGATTTCATTGGTTAAGTAATAAAGAAACTGCTTGGCTGGCCCTCATAGGTTAAAACATAGGTAGGCGGAGTAAACAGAACAGAATGCTGGGAGAAAGAAACTGAGTCAAGGAGTCTCCATGATTCTCCCACTCCAGGCAAACGCAGGTTAAGATCATTCCTGGTAAGCCAGCTCGTGGGCTACAGCAGATTATTAGAAATGGGCTAGTCCAGGTGCGAGAGCTAGCCTAGAAGAGGCTAGATATAATGGGCCAAGCGGTGTTTAAAAGAATACAGTTTCCGTTAAATTATTTCGGGTAAAGCTAGCCGTGGGGGCGGCCGGGTGCCGGGGACGCAGCCTGCCACTCTTATTTCAACACACAATTAATGATCTGAAATTTTAAGTTCACTTAAATGTTGTATTGGCTACTGTATTAGATAGTATGGCCTTGTTGCTCCATGCCTCTGAGTGCTTCAAAAATATGTGTCTCTAAGCGTGAAAAAATGGCTAGTGCCTGTAATCCCAGCACTCGGGAGACAGGCAGGAGAATTTCCATGAGTTTAAGGGGAGCTTGAGCTACAGGGTGAGAACCTGTTTCAACAAAGGAAAGAAGAGAAACAGGAGGAGGAAGAGGAGGAAATTGTTCTTTTCAGACTCAGCTTTTAAAAGGTTGTAATCCTCCCCCACAATAGAGAAGACTAATTGGAGGCAATTATTACAACTCATAAATTTTTATATTTCATATTTCTGTAGTTTAATAATTTGATCTCGGTTTAATAATTTAACCTTGAAAGTTATCCTCAAGTCTAAGTATCCTCAAGATTGTTTTTATTCAGTGGAATGTATATTCTGTTAGACATACAACGTTACATATTGTTTGATAAAAAGGATTATGATCACATTATTATGCTACAATCATAGGACCGACATACTTTGACATCCCTGTTATTTATTGCACATAAACATCTTCTGTTAGCTCACCTCCATTATTTATTCTGTATGTGACTTTTAGAATTTGTTAGTTCAGCAGTTTGGTAAGACGTACATACAAACAGCTGCCATTTAGTAGTCCCCCCACCCTACTTCAGAAGGAACAGCCCCCCTTCTTTCTTAAGAAAGAACTGTTGATCCTACCAATTATTTTCAGTCTTTAGTCTATAAAAACATAACTTATTACATTGCAAAGAGACACAGGATCACTGGGTTTTGGCGTTTTTCTATTTTAAATACAGCTCACTTTGTATTTTTAATACAGAAACACTTTGTTCAGCTCAAATGATGCAGCCTCATTCTGCTGGGAAGAAAACCTCAAGCTGTCAAAACTTAGGTTCCGTTCTCATCCTCTGAATGGATGTGCGGCTCACAGAATGTCACCAAGTTAACCTCTTTCTCTTACAAGATCAATTCAGCTGCCAAATCGTACACAGACTTGGGGGATGGGGGCTCAACGATCAGAGGAAAATCTTGGGGACAGCAGGATCCAGCAAAGGAGTTAGTGCATAAAGGGACAACCTACTTGTTGTGGTAACTGCTCTTCCCAGAGGGAAACACTAAACCCCAGGGGGGCTACTTCACTATCTTTGCTATTGAAACCGGTATTGCTGTTCCCTGGCAACAAATGGCTGGCTGCGATGCTGAAAACAGCACGCAAGTCGGGCAGTGGGGCTCAGAAGGGGCTGCACTGTCGATGGTCCCAACACCTCAGAGATAATCGCAGCTGCATTCCGAGATTTTAGGAGTCTTTGTTCACCAGAAAGGGGTTGAGAACAACTGTCTCTCTGCCCGAGCATAAATCTCGGTGCAGTCGGCATTTCCTTCGGGACTTTTTGTTTTATTTGAATGTTTTCGAGGGAATTGACAGATTCTATTGTCTGTTGTATTTTTTCTCTAAATCTTCCAGTGGAGAAACTTTAAAGATTAAAGCCCTGAGGATTTTATCCTCTGGACTCCGGTGTCAACGTGTTCATTTTAACTAGCTTTTATGTCCCTGTTACTGGCAAGTCACATCCTTTTTATTACCCCATTAAGTACCTTACTGGTTAAGGGAGATTCTTGGAAATCTATTTTGTCTATGTAACAAGTATAGATATACACAAAATAAAGAAAAAATTAAAAAGTCATATAAAGGGCATAATTGAGAAGATACTTAGTAAATATAATTATTTTATTATATATAGTTATTTTGTTAATTCAGGTGACAATTGGGAGAAGTGAAGTAGTATCTTGGGCCAATAAATGTAGCTCAATGGTAGAGGTCTCAGGGCATAGCTATTGCAGGGTCCTAGGTTCAAGTCTCAGCACCATGAAGAAGACAAGAAAAACAACAGTATCTTATGATGCGAAGTCTCATTTATATTGGTCAGAAGTTTTCTGTTATTCAAAGCAGTTCTTAAAATACAGCATTTGAAAATGAGCTAGTTCTTCAGTTTGTTTGCTTTTTTTCTTGTAGCCTTTGTCAGAAAATGTAGCCCTTACCCCTAGTTAAAGAAACTTCTCTATGTAGTAGACAGGCCATTGCAGAAAGACACACTGATCAAAATGCAGAGAACCACTGACTGTGGGGTGCCCAACCTCAGCTGAGGACCAGGGGCGTTGCTGAAGGTGGATTAGAACAACCAGAGGGCCAGCACATCTGTCTCAAGACAGTGGCTTCTACGTATGACAGAGAAGTTTCCACTTCTCTCACATGAGTTTCCGCTCATGAAGTTTCCAACAAGACCAGAACAATGACACCAACTGACTTCCCGTGTGGGTGGGAGAAATCGCTCAAGGCCCCGCCCCTAGATGAAGACCATAGGTAATTAGTGATGACTACTGAGGGAGGGAGAATCATCTGCTCCAGGGATGAGGCCTCAATAGGTTACCCAGTCTCAATCAGTCAGCCCTAAACACATGTACAGATGAACAACGCCAAGTGCATTTAACATACATGGACTTACGTATGCAAAGTGTGTGTGTGTGGTGTGTGTGTGTGTGGTGTGTGTGTGTGTGTGTGTGTGGTGTGTGTGTGTGTGTGTGTGTGTAGCAATAATTTAAAAAGAAGAGATCATTTGAGGAGGGCGTGGGACAAAACACATGGAAGAAGTTGGAGGGGGAATTATGTAAAACAGTACAAATTTATGAAAATCTTAAAAGTAAATAAAATGTTTTTCTTTTTAAATATCCAAACAACCTTACCCATCATTCCTGTTTTAATCCAACTTGGTTTTATTGTTGTGTGTTTGTTATTTTGTTTCTTTCTTGAGACAAGGTCTCTCACTGGCCTAGAACTTGCTGGGTAGGCTAGGATGTCTGAAAGAAGTCGACTAACATGCCTGACTTTTAAAAGATTAAGGTGTATTATTATTACTATATATGTTTGTGCGTGATATATATGTGTGGGTACATGTGCGGAAGTCAGAGGGCCTTTATATGGGTTCTGGGCATTGAACAGAGGCCTCCTACTTGCAAGACAAATCCTTACTAACTGATCCCCACTCCCACCCCAACCCCCACCCCATCCCCATGCTCACCCCATCCCTACCCCATGCCTACCCTACCCAATCCCATCCCCACCCCCATCCCATCCCCATCCCATCCCCACCCCATCCATGTGATTTTTATACTTCACAGGAAGCAGCAACTTCTTAGCTTGTTCACACTCTTCAACAGCCTTGAGAATGGAATCAGTATTTCTTTCCTAGCACAGCTGATTTGTTGTTACTGTTTTGGTTCCTGTCAGTTCATTTGTTTGAGACAGGGTCTCACTCTACAGCTGTGGCTGACTGGAAACACATGCTCCTGTCTCCCAGGGAGTGAAATTCCAGACATGTACCACCTCCTCTGCTTTGCATTTCACTTTTTTTTTTAAAAATAAGGATGAACTATACTAATAAAATTATATTATTGGAAACTTATAGTAATGAAAATGAGATCTATCAAAAGGAAATATTATTTAACTGAAAATACTTAAAGTTTTGAAAAACTTGAAGCCACTGTTGTTCTTATTGCTGCCTTTCTTGTCTGCAGGGTTAGAGAGTAGAGACGTCACGCAAGGAAAGGAGACACAGACACGCAGCGGTCCCACGTGGGTGCACTTTAATGGGGGAGGGGTAACGACAGGTAAGGTACAGGTGTGCAGAGACGAGAGGAGGGGGGAAGAAGAGAGGAGGGGGGGCTCGTGGCGACCCCCGCCTTTTAAGGGCATCTGCGAGAGGTGTCCTGCGCCTGCGCGCCTGATATCCGTAGTCCAGGGGAATGTTGGGAGCTGTAGTTCGCAAAAGGAACAACAGCCACTACTTACTCCAGATGTCAGGAATGATATGGAAGTGTCTAGAAGCCCTGGCTACTGGAAGAGGAGCTGCGTGTGAAAGAAAGGAGCCTGGCTGAGAGCTCAGAACAGCAGCCCCAATCGAAAGCCACTAATGGTGCTAGAGACAGGAGGGAACAATTCGTCCACGAAGGGGTCGGAGGCTTCTTGTGGTTTCTCACCCATTAAACTAACTCACAGAAAAAAAAAAAAACCAGAATTCAGATCACGTGATGGGTTTCTGTGCAGAGTGAACGGTTTGGGTATGTAGTTCCTAGAGACATCGATTTGCATTTTTATTGGTGATCTATTCAAACACCATAGTTCTCTGCATTAAATTCATTCTCTCAGCCATGACAAGATAACACTTCAATTTTTTACATTCATTTATTTGGTGTGTGTGTGTGTGCGTGTGCACACTGCTCATATGTGGAGGTCAGAGGACCACTCTCAGGAGTTGGTTCTCTCCTCTACTGTGTGGGTTCCAGGGACTGACTGCAGTTCCTCAGGCTTGGCAGCAGGTGCTCCTGCGCATTCAGAGGTCTCCCTCGCTACAGAACAACACTTGTTTAAATGAGTATAGTAACTCAAGGCTTAGGGTACTCATCAAGTAGATGCTATCATCTGTTTTACATAGAACATCGAAGTGGGTTTTTCAAGACCATATAAACCAGTCTTTCTGAGTCCAAGGTATACCTCTCTGTTTGTATCACTACATTCTACCTCTGCAACCCCAGCTTTGATAGATAGAAGAGGGGCTAGGCTGAGGAAGCCTCTTCCATTCAGATCGCCTTTACTTTCGTAAAATATGCATCCATACCCCAATACACTCAAGCACCGTAGCTGAGAAGTAAAGAAGGCCCTTGCCTGGCGTGCAGATTGCGGACTGTCTCAGTTGTTTTCTTACCTTTATCTCTTTTTTGCCACCTCCCACCCCTGCTTGTAAGCCCGAAAATAGTCATGAGAAATTAAATGAGTTGATAACCGATAAGATACTTGCTTGAAGCAAAGCTGATTGAACAAAAGGGTGACAACCTTTACTGTGTGACATACCTCGGCTCCCAGTGTCACCAAGAACTATGAGAAAGTGTTGGAGAGGAGGGAAAGATGGGGGAGTGAGGACATTTTCTTGTTATTGCTGTTTTTCTTTTTGTTTTTATTTGTTTGTTTGCTTGTTTTGTTTTGATTTTTTAAATTTTTATTTGGTGGATCACTGCAGGGGGAGGGGAAGATATGGAAGGACTGGGAGGTAAGTAGGATTGGGGTGCATGATATGAAACTCCCAAAGATTCAATAAAGAAATGATATTAGGCTTTTTTAAAAAAAAAAAGAGAGAGAGAGGGAGAGAGAGAGAGAGAGACTTGCTTGAGGAAAGGCGTATTAAATGAGTCAGGTTCCACAGAAATATGTTGTTTTTAGAAATTATTATACAAAGTACTGCGTATCTCTATGGCATTTTGAAATAGGGTATGGTTTAGTCATTTTCCTTTCCCATCACCCCCATACTTCTGTAGGCTTATCCCCAGACCCTTCTCCTTCTGTGCCTCATGTGTCCTTTTGCCCAGCCTTTGCTCCTCATCACTTCCTGCCACTCTCCCTTGGGCTACTTTACATGTTAGGGTCTTCTCCTGGCAAATACCCAGAAGTCTCCATCCCCTGCCACAGAGTCACTTTGCACACCCCTGCTTACTGCAGATCTATTCATAATGGAATTAGCAAGGGGATGAACCTACCTAGAAGTCTTCCAAGAGATGGACAGATAATGAAGAAGTGATACCTACACACAACAGTTTTTATTCAGCAGCAAAGAGAAATGACATCTGCAGGCAGACAGACGGATGGAGAGTTTTAATGTATTCATTGCTATTAGTCTCCTCTAGGCTTTGTAATAAAATCAGATATTCTGAGTAGCTCAAACAGAGAAAATCTATTTGCTCATAGTTTGTGACTCCAGTAAGCCAGAGATGATCATGCTGGCTACTTGGTTTCCCGTAAGCTTTCTTCCGGTTTCCTGTCTTCTTGCTGTGTTTTCATCTGATGGAATGAGGAAAGGCAGAAAAGGCCCACTCGCATCTCTTGCTGCATAGACCAAACCCCTTGCTATACAAGAGCCCATGAAGGCCGTATGTCTAATAGAGTTATATAGGAGCACCGAGTTTCACATACATTTGGGGAATTCAGAACCTATTTGTGTGCAAATGTGTAGGATTTTTCTTTTTCTTTTCCTGAAGCGTGTTCTCATTACTATTGCCTAAACTACCCCTAAGCTCCCTCTGGAGCCCAGATAACTCTTGCACTTCCCTACATCTGGTCTCATCCTCTGGAGTAGGTGGGGTTGTGCACGGAATAGATTTTGTGTTTTGTTTTTCTGTGTGGGTATGTGTTTGCATGTGTAGATGTGCTTAAACCAACAAACTTTATGCTTTCCAAATGTTCCCTCCTATTTGATTAAAAGCTCTGTTTTTCTTCCCAGAGGAGATTTGCTGAACTAATCCATTATCTGTTTTGTTAAAAGTCACAAGTTTTAGAGATAATGGGTGACCCTTCTGAAAGTAATTTAGTATTCTGTACTGACTGCCTAACAGGAAGCTGCCGTACCATGATGCATTTGGGTTTTTTATGTTTTGCAAGTACGTTTCCATATTTTTGTTTAGTTGTTTAAAGGCAGCATTCAACAAAAACAAACTGGCTTTGTGTTTTTCTCTTGGATCATTTTTCTCTATTTTATTTTCAGGATGGAAAATTTCAAACATGAAAGCTACGGAAGGGGCTGGAAAGATTCGCGGCTGCGTCTTCCACCCAGCTTTAGCAATTACTAACACATGGCTAGCTTGATGTAGTCATATGTTCTTGGTTTCATTGGCTTGTTCTGCCCTGTATTTCCTGAAAATACTCCCCCCTCTTTTTTGCTGTTGTGTTTAACATTTTACCCTATATTTATTTTTTTTTGTGACTATGAATGTTTTGCCAGAAATATGTATGTGTGCCCTGTGTGAGCCTGGTGCCTGTGGAGGTCAGAAATGGGCATCATATCCCCTAAACTGGCGTTAGGGATGGATAGCTGTGAACCACCATCTGGATTCTAGAAACCAAAATTGGGTGCTCTGAAAACTGTGAGTATTCCTAACCAATCTCTCCGGCTTTACCTGTGTGCATGTACGTGAATGCATGTGCGTGCGTGTGTGCACGCGCGCGTGTGTGTGGGTGCAATACTAGACATTGTTCTCCATTACTAAATTTATTTTCAGGGCTCCTGATTTTTAGACAAATTGTTTTTTGTTTCAGGGTGAATATTATTTGGACAGATATCTGAGTATTCAAATGCTTGTCAGAAACAAAGCAGTTTTGACTTTAGGGCCAAACGGATTGTGAACAGGTTAAACCAGTTTGGCTGACATAGGAAATGAGACTAAAAATAGTACATGCTTCAAGTTCGGTGAAGGTTGAATTAACTATTTTGCATTTCTTAAGCAACAGTTTTGACTTTCTATCCTTCCCTTGTATGGGTAGAACATTGAGTAGAGTCAAAACAGAGCTGACTGAGGGAGGAAGGTCAGCTCCCTTAATTTCATAAGCTCCCATCTTCTTATTCTTTCAAGGGTCAGGTCTGGGGATGTTGACAATATATTAGATATTATATGCCAGTAAGTCATCTCTTTTTCATTTTTGTGCTTTGCTTTAATTTTTCATTTCGAGACAGAATCTTACTATGTAGCTCAGGTTGGCCTTGAAATCTGCCTTAATCTTCCTGCCCCATATACTTCCGTGCTGGTATTCCAGGTCCATGTACTACCGCATGACTGGCTAGTGCACTTTCAACAATGAATTGATTAATCACGTATGTGACACAGTTTTCTTAGTGCCCAAAGGTGCCAAAGGAAAGACTTCTGCAATCTTCCCCAGCTATGAATCTACAAATGACAGCACCCACCCAAAGGCCAGATGCACCCACTGATAACCAACCACTCTCTGCTTGGACTTGAGGGCTGCTCTGCAGAATGGAGGCACTGTAAACCCAGTCAAAAAAGCCATGGCTGAGGAGGTCTTAGGTGCTAGGGGGAAACATAACAGTTGTTAAGTTAAAGAGGTGTGACCCTAAACTGCTTTCTAAACATTTATGTTTAAATACATAGACCAAGGCTACACCCATCTTGACCGAGAGAAGCCTCCTTTTGCAATGAGCTGTGGTTAATGCAGACTCGTGACTTCTCGGGGTGCTGAGAGTTGAGTGGGAAGCCCTAACCAAGACATCTATACCATCCACCTAAGGCTCAGGAAACATTGAAGAAAAGGGGCAGGACAAATGTAAGTCCCGGAAGATTGGAGAAAGCTCACAGAAGTTAGGGTTCCTGTGTTGGACCAGCACAAGACAGGGTTTAAAATCAGTCATGCATGGATTGGGGAGGGGCCTCATGGGAACAAATGTCACCTTGCTGAAATATTCACTGTGTGGGTGTTTGTACATGTGCATGTGTGTGCTTACATATGTATATGTCTATTTTTCTCAAGGTTAGAATATTGTTTTATACTGAAGATGAACAATTGAAAATCAAATCTGCTGTATGGTCATTTATTGCGAAGTTACATGCAAGATGTGTCTTACCTCAGAAGACAAGTCTTGGACCACAACCAGTCAATTCTGTCCGGCAGTCTCGTGGCCTGTCCACCTCCAGCTGCCCTTCACAGCAGCTGGGATTTCTTCAATGTACCAGTTCTTCCTCAGGGGCTAGTATAACCACTTCCTGCACCCATACCACCTCCTTATCTAACGTTTTCCCTTTTTTAGAAGAATATTTATTCCTTGTTAGCCCTGGATTTCTCTCAAAGAGCGAGTCATGTGTGTGGGAGAAGTGCCCTGAGCTGGCTAGGTGTCCTGGGAGACAAGGGGGAAGACTCTGCCTACCTTCTTCCTGTGGGAACAGCCTGAGACATGGGCTGAGACATGGGTCCAAGATGCCTGCCACCTTCAGTGTTTGCCATCATGCTGTGGGGCTTGCAGTGGTTGCTTCTATATCCCGCTGACCAAAATACCTAACAGAAACAACTGGAGGGAGGGGAGATTTAAGTTGACTCACAGTTTCGGGGTGAGTCCGTGGATTCTTGGCCTCACACTCTTGACAGAGCATCGTGGCAGCAAGAACACATGACAGAGGCTGTTTTTCCCTTCTTGGCAGACAAGAGGCAGAGACAAGTATGGATACAGAGAAGGTCAGGATGAGCTCCAACTCCTAAGGACAATGACTTCCTAAGGTCAATTACCTACCTCCTCCAAACAGGCCTCACCTGCGACCTTTGAGCACCTCCATAACAGATGAATGCATCTGTGAAATCAGAGCCTTCGAAATCTAATTGGCTCCCGAGAAGCCATCAAGACACACTCAGGGGTGTGTTTCACTAATCCCCCAGGTGTTTCTTAATCCAGGCAAATTGAGAATCAAAATTAATGCTCATATTACCACTCAGAAATCTACCTTTTTGGAAGTTAATCTAAGAAGTTACATTCTAAGGATGGGCTATCCATGCCGTGGTTGCTGCTAAATGCATGAGAGGGAGTGGGTGGGGTGGGGGCACAGTAACTACAAGTCTAGGGATGTGAATTTTCTGTTTATAGCTATATGAGAAAGTGTAAACAGTATAGCCAAAACACATACAGCACATATAATTTTCACATGTGAATGTATATTATGTGGCAATGGTGTGAGATGTTTTAAAATATGTGATACTCTTTTTAAGAAAAGTTTTGTTTTAGGGGGTTAACGAGAATGCTCAGTAGTTAAGAGTACTTACTAATCTTGCAGAGGACCTAGGTTCAGTCCCTACTACCTAGATGGAGGTTCACACCTGGAATTGAAGTTCCAGGGTCTCATGGTGTGCCCATCCATCTGTCTCTCCTCATGGGACTGGCTGCTCCATCGAGGTCTCTCACCCACCATGCAGCTCTCTGCCTGGGACTCACTGCCCCTCTTGGTCCTCTGCAGCCACTTGGGGAACTGAGCCATCCCTGCTTGGGAACCGCTGCCTTCTGCCTGCTGCCACTTAAGAGACATGCAGTGTGGTCTCATGGCCCGATGCCCACTGTAGCCACTTGGGGATCCTGCAGCATGTTACTTTAACCATTATACTCTTCAGCCTCCGTGGAGTCAGCATGTATATGATATGCATAAACATACATATACATATATGTGTGATGTGGGAAGGTCATTGGTTAATTAATAAAGAAACTGCTTGGCCTCATAGGTTAGAACATAGGTGGGTGGAGACAGACCAACAGAACAGAATGCTGGGAGGAAGAGGAAGTGAACTCAGACGCCATGCTCCCCTCTCCCGGGCAGACTCGATGAAGCTCTGACCCAGGATGGACGTAGGCTAGAATCTTCCCGGTAAGCGCACCTCGGTGCTACACACATTAATAGAAATGGGCCAGGCAGTGTTTAAATGAATACAGTTTGTGTGTTGTTATTTCCGGGTATAAGCTAGCCAGGCGGCCAGGAGCCGGGCTGTGGGAAGAGGCCCGCAGCTCCCTCAACATATGTGTGTATATATATATATGTGAACAACATATCTCTACATAAATAAAATAAATTTTAAATTACATTTAAAAAATTTAGTATGGGTGTATGTGCGCACGTGCGTGCATGCGTGTGTGTGTGTGTGTGTGTGTGTGTGTACACCTGAGCACATCTCATAGTATATATACATGTGGCAATCAGAGACAACTTGTAACAGTTTTTCTCTTTCCACCATGTATATATAGCCTGGGGATTGAACTCAGGTCATTTCAGGTTTGGTGACAAGCACCTTGACCCACTGAACCATCCTGTCTTTTGTCCTCAGGGCACTTAAAATCTAGTTGAGAAGTGGCATATTAAAGGCAAAATGCAGACATGGAACCGGGAAGAGCTTTTATTTATTCATGTTTCAAAACACATTCTTATAAGTGCACATAGAGGCAAGTGCACAGAGCCAGCTCTCAGGACCTCTGCACACGATAACCACCCTGGAGGAAGGGAGAGTCTGATTCTGCTGGTTTCCATGTAAAATGCATAGACACTTCCTTTGTTAGGAAAACGATTGTAAATCGTGTGAAGCATTGTTAGATCCCAGCTGTGGCAGAAGTCCCTCTGGCTTTCTCTTTGTGTTCTTGAAGGAGAACTCACACTGGAGCACAGGTAGACTCAGCAAGTTGCCAAAGATTATTTTTAACAGGCAAGTAAACAAAAACAGAGGGTTGAACTTCCAAAGCCTGGTCTAGAGTTTCCTGCCCTCAGTCCACCCTTGGGAAGTCTAGGGTGGTCTCCTTCCTGAATAAGTACAGCATGTCTTATCCACCACTCAGAGGACTACAATAAGATGTATTAGGTGCAAGAAAAATTAAGAAAATGTATGAAAGTGTAACTATGAATAAAATTGAGAGGTTTACTAGGAGAAAGGACAATAGTATCTTGTGCATATACTCCTCAGAGAGGGGCTTCATGGGACCCTACAGGAGCCTGCCAAAACAAACTTCACTGTGTTTCCCAGAGTCATGAAATCCTCTTAATTACTATTATTATTTCAGACAGGGTATCTCTCTACATAGCCCTGTTTGTCTTGAAACTCACAATGTAGACCAGGCTGACCTTGAACTCACAGTCAGCCTGACCTTCTTTATCAAGTTAGCTTGGCTATCTCATAACCAGCCGCCAGACTTACTTATCGCCTCCAATATCCTCAACTTTGATCTTTTAGCTCTGATGTTTGTTTTAACCCAGACAGCATCCTTTGCTGTGAGGATGTAGGCACGATGCTAGGTACCTAGAAAACAAACACCTAGTATTAATTAGGGCGACTATTTTGGCCGTCTGCATTTCTCATGGTGATGGGTCGTAGTCTTGGGCAAATTTTTCTGTGAATGCTTTTTGTTGTTTCAAACATGGTCTCATTGTAGATCAGGCTGGCCTAGAGCTCACTGTTGTGAGAAGGAGTGATCCTCACTTCATAATAACAGTTCTGGAGCCTTAGTAGTGAAAGCAAAACAATTTATCTTACAATCTTGTAAAGTAAACTCTCACCCTAGAGAAAAGGCAAAAACCAAACAAACAAAAAATCCAAAAAACAACAAAAGAAAGAGACTGATGTGTTGATTCGGTTCAAAAATAGTGGTTTGTATACTCCTGTTAATGTAAAAACCACAGCTCTCATCTTGAAGAAAGAGATGATTTATTCTAGAACTATTTTTAGTGACCATGGCCAGGAATATGGATTTTGGTTACTCCAAATTCTATGTTCCTAAGTAGAAGCAGTTTCATGGGCTTTTTAGTTTTACAGAACAAAGAAAGTTATAAATCAAGGCAACTTTAAAATACATTGGTGGCTATACCAGAGAGGCAGTACAAAATGGGGGAGCTATTTGTTTTTTTTTTTTTTTTTTTTTATTTCCAAGAGCGGGCTTCTCTGTGTAACAGCCCTAGCTATTCTGGAACTGGCTCTTGTAGACCAGACTGGCCTTGAACTCACAGAGATCACCTGCCTCTGCCTCCTAAATGCTGGGATTAAAGGCACCCACCCGGCTGGGGGAGCTATTCTTTAGGCCTAGGATGCTCTCTGATGACTTCTTAGCTCTTGGATTGGCAGAAGCTAGTATTCTGCTATGTTAATAGCTTCTAGGAGGGTTTTATTTATTATACTGAGGTGTTAGGTCAGATACAGAGCAGGGCAAGGCACAGCTGACCCAGAAGGGTAAAACGAGCCCAAGATGAAGCAATTCACCTTTGAACCCACACAATTCCAATCTCTCCACAGTACCGAAATTTCAGTCAGTCCATCGGCTATTACAGACACAGGCTCCTTCCAGCTTTTTGGTTACAGTCAGACACGGCTTCTTTTCATAAATCTTTATTCACAATCCTGAACAAATCTCCATGCCACAGATTATTCCTCATTTGCTGAGTTCTTCAGTGAGACACAATCTTCCAACCATTTCCCCTTCCATCCCCATCTCACTGGTCCAGAGCAGAGCCTGACCTACTTGGCGCTCAGTTCTGTAGCAGATTGCCTGTAACCTTTCAACCCCGCGATGAGCTGAGAGTCAAGCCAAGCAAGCAAGCACCAGCTACCAGCTAGGTAAGATGGTGGGAGGGAGGGAAGGAAGGAGGGAGGGAGAGAGACCTTGGAACACAGTTCTAAATGGGATGTCTCCATCAAATCTCTCCCCCTTAGAGCTCAGGGAACCCCAAGGGAAGAAGATACAGAAAGGGTGTAAGAACCAGAGGGGAGCGAGGACACCAGAAAACTAGATCCTCTAAGTAAATTGAGCAAACCTTATATGAACTCACAAACTGAGCAGCAGCACATGGCGTACACGGGTCTGTCCCAGGTCCTCTGTGTATATATTACAGCTTTCAGTTTAGTGTTATTAGGGGACGCCTGAGCATGTGAGCAAAAAGGAGTCTGGTTCCTCCCTTCCTCCCTCCCTCTCTCTCTTTCTCTGCATAATATCTGGCTGTGAGTTTCTGTATTTGTTCTCGTATGGTGCAGGAGGAAGCTTCTCTGTTGATGGCTGAATAAGGCACTGATCAATAAGTATAATAGAATATCATTAGGAGTCATTTTACGAGGTTTCTTTTCTCTTTTCTTCCTTCCTTCTTTCTTTCCTTCCTTCCTTCCTTCCTTTTATTCTGGTTTTACCCTAAGTCCCTAGCATATCTAGTTGCTGGTTCTTTCTTGGTTACCCAAGCAGTTCCATCTTGTGGAGTGGGCCTTAAACTAAATCAGACCTTGGTTGCTGACTCCCACAAGTTCTATGCCCTACTGTCCTGGCATATTTCGCAGGCAGGATAGTCAGTTTGGGAAAATCTCATTTGCTTGCCCTCTTGTCTAGTATCACAATCTTGGTATATAGCTGAATCTGAGTCCTTTATTTTTATTTTTTCCACAAATGAAGGAACATCTTCGTCAGTGCCACCCTTTAGTTTTTCTAACCTAAGCACTAAAATGATTGGTGCTATCGTCTCAAATCCAAAACTTAACTCCTGTTTTTCATATTGTAATACAAAATCAAGTGAAAATGCTAGGAATTATGAAAATTAATTTTCTTCATAGTATTTCACTGCAGCGTGGGCTATAATTTACAAGTATAAGCAACAATTACAAAACGTTCACACGGAACATCGCATTGTGAGTGCTAAGTTCGTGCATTTCTCCAAAGGTGTTCATGCACCTGTGGAAGAGCCCATATATCAGCATGCTTATCCGTTTAGTAATGCTATGCATTAATCTGGCATGACAGAAAAGGCCTGGCACAGCATGGAAGAATTATAGAAGAATGCAAAACACAGTTTCAGGCTCAGCTCACACAGGCAAGCTGTGTCTTTTATGCCGGAAAGATTAACCGGGGATCCGTTACATAGTTAACAAATCCACCGCAGAGAGAGTAGGAGCTGGGAGGTTTATGTTGACTTGTTGTCTCCTGCTCTTAAGAGCACTTACATTTTCTCAAGGCATAGGAAATAACTGTGGATTGGATCCATGTGAGAACATCTGAGGAATAGAGATGTCA